TGCGTATTCAACATTTACAAATGTTTAGTGAAGGATTTAGAATAGAGAGGGAAAAAAAAGACAAAATATTCAACACATCAAATTTTTCTCCTTTGTCATAATAAAACATGGGCACGTTAAATCAATAGAAAAATAAAGATAAAAACAACGATATCTCATTAAATACGAACATCTTTCATTTAATTGCATCATACGATTATGTGTACTCTGTTGTTTTCTTGATTAAAAAAACAAAAAAAAAAATACTCATTTCAAAATTTCCCATCTCGAAAAGCATAGATAAACAATAACAGAAGTTCCCTATATTCTAAAAGAAATTTACAGAATCCAAGACAACTATGAAAAGTTAAAATAGTTTTATAGTTTAGTCGCAAAATAAACCATAATGATGTCGACGTTTGCGCAAAAACCCAAATAGTTTCGAAATGACAGCAAAAAAAAATTCGAACTCAATTTCAAGTTCTGTAAAATACCATATAGTCAATTATCTGATATAAAGATATTCATATGAGCTCTGAAGTGTCATATCCAATATTGAGGGATGTATAAGAGTTGCTCTAATTTAACAATAAAATGATTTTAATATTTATAAAAATCTATTGTATATAAAATTTCGAGGCTTCCGACAATTGAGACCACTTTTTATCAAAAAATTTGAAAGTCTTAATTACATCAAACAAACATCAGAGAGCGTCCAAATGAGAATGAGAGTGAGTGCAAATAAAGTGATCTCAATTGGGAAAGAGACTAAAATTTCATTCTTGTCCAAGAATATTTTCATAAAACTATGATGATTTAATCTTAAATGACGTTATATCTTATGTTTTAACAGGTCTAAAATTTGAGAATAAAAAACAGGAACAATTTCGTCGACAAAGAACACATTTTACAAGTGAACAATTACAAGAATTAGAATCAAATTTTGCTAAAAATCGTTATCCTGATACGTCGACAAGAGAAGAAATTGCTATATGGACGAATTTAAACGAATCAAAAGTGAGAGTAAGTTGACTTTTTTTGTTTTATTAATGCACTAAACATATCTATATTTTGATATAGAAAAGAGAAAAACTAACAGTGCATATGGATATATCAAATATTTCTGTCTACAATTCTAATTGCTTGAACAGATTACACTTGAAAAATTAAAAAATACGTATTATTTGAATGAAAATCAAAATTTTTTCACAGATTCATCATAGTTCAAAAAATTTCTTTTTAAATAATTAAGAAACAACGTAGAATTCAAAAAAAAAACCATATAGATGCATTCTTTTCTAAAATAATGAATATCAAAATGGAATCTAATTCACTTCAGATATGGTTTAAAAATCGTCGTGCAAAATATCGTAAATGTGAACGTAATCTTGAACATTGGTATAATTCATTTACACCTTATCGAACATTCTTTCCAAATACAACTACCAATCATTTTTGGCATCGAAAATGTGATGGAACTGGTAATCAATATTCATGTACGGCACATAATTATGCTACAGCATTAACAACTTACTGTCAAGACTTTCATTATTCAACTACAAACACTTCAAATAGAAGTGATGATACACTGTTATTATATCGAAATGTCATAAATCCATATACAAATGTTGGATACAATCATATTAATTCGATTAAAATGGCACAAGAAGATGATGTTATTTTTAGTTAAATAACGATTATCTTAAACGTAATGTAAAAATGATAATCATTTTTCTTAACTATTTTAGTTTTAGTGTATTTTTTTCTCAACTTATATAATTTTCTTAATTTCTAAACAAAAATCAGTATTGTTTTTCTGTATAAAATATTGAATAGTCAAATGTTATTTAGTCGTATTATTTAAGTACAAGTGATTGAAATAATAGCAAATGAGATACCATGTAATAAATAACTCATCCTTTTTTATTTATCTACTCAAGACAAACATCTCTGAACCAATCTTATTATTAGAGATAAAACATTCGTCAGATGTCTAATTTTTCTATTTTAATTAAAAAAAGAAAAGTTTTGAATGTTTTGTTTTTTCTTTCGTCTATGTAAAATAGTTCATTTTTTTTTCTTCTCAAGTATTGATATATTAAAAAATTTCCCGTAAAATATTTTAATTTTTATAAAACAAACGATTATAACATGAGAAAAAGAAGAAGAAGAAGAAGAAGAAGAAGAAGAACAAAAAAAAACTGAAACAAACCATAACTAACCTGATAAGAACACTATAATTCAAAATATTCTATTTTAAAAATTCCGTCATATGAGTTTATAAAGCACAAATGGCACAAGTCAAAACAAAAACAAATATTTGTCTTAATGGCAAAATGAAATTTTTTATTCACTAATGATCTATCACAGTATTTTAATGTGCCTGTGAAATTTTGTCAAACAAACACTGTAGAAACATATTATTCTAACCACCGAGTTGAATTAAATATATCATAAGAAGATTTTTTTAAGTTTCGAATAACGGATTATTTGAATAATGTGGCGATGGATAAATATTATTCGTAATGTTTGTTTGTGTTCCATATATTTGAAAACTTGAACCATTTTGTTTTGCTTTATTTTTTAAAACTTGTGTTAATGGATGTAAATCGTTTTGAATATAATTTGTATAGGAATTATTTTGAACAGATACCGTTGACGGATAATAGCTTGATGTTGAATATAGAGGAGGTATAGATGATGTATAAGAATAGGGTGGTGATAGAGAGGAAGATGAGGGTGTGTGATGAGTCATTAAAGGTTGTGTTAAAGAGTTTACAGGAGGTAGTGGCCAATGAGTAAATGAGGGTGTTGTATGAGTAGACGATGAGGACGAAGTCGATTTTGTAGTAGTTGGACTGGGCGATTTATTGTTTGTTGATTGTGTATCCCAATGTGAGGGATAATTAACAGAATAAGCTGACTGATAAACATCAAATGGTTGTACAAGACCATTTATATGAGAAAAACTTCTTAAATGATCCATGTTTCGTTCACGTTTACGCCATTTAGCACGACGATTTTTGAACCAAACCTAAAACAAAGAATAGATGTTATTATTTTTAGAATATTTGAATAGGAATAACTACATACGCGAACTTTAGCTTCGGTTAAATTTGTTAACGCAGCAATATCTTCTCTTGTAGCTAAATCAGGATATCTATTACATGAAAATGTTGCTTCTAATTGTTGTAATTGTTGACTAGAAAAATGTGTACGTTGACGACGTTGACGTTTCTTTTTATCGTCCGATTCTTCTGCACTGTGTTCGTCTAATGGTGAATTGTTATTAATATTTGTATCATTAGCTAAAAAGTACAAATCCGAGTTAGCAAGTTTCCTTTTCTCAACATCGGTGTCCAGTTCAAACATATCGTATACGATCGTATCTGAATCAGACAAAATCGTATCAAATCGTATGAAAATCATATATGAATCGTGGTATCTGATTTGTCCTCTGGGTTGTATAATACGATCGTACAACTTCGTATGAAATCGTATAGTACGAACCAGATGACAAATCAGATGCAACAATTCGTACATACATCGTACATAATCATATATGATTTTGTACGATCGGATAGTACGATTCAATCATCTGGATATTTATACAACAGTAGTAGAAATATATTCTACATACTCGGTTCATATTTGACATCTGATTTCTCCTCCATAAGTGGTGATGGAGATGAGGCATCATAAGATCCATATGTTGGAAGATTGTTTAGTAGAGAATGGTGTTGTGATAAATAATGATGAGAATGATGATGTAAAAACTGATTTTGTTGATGATCTTGATGTTGCTGTAGAAGAAGTTGATGTTGATAATTAAGATGAAGGTTTGTATGATAATCAGCTGAATCGATTAAATGTTGACTATTGATTTGTAGAGGAGCATTGAACAATTTTTCTATACTTTCATTTGGATTTTCCATAATTCACCGACACTAAACAAAAAAGAAGAGTTTGATGATCTAATGGCAACTATCAAACGATGAAAAGTAACAGCTTAGTAAGAAATCAGAATATTCTTTCTGTTAAAAATTTAGGTCTGTTTTTGAATCTGCTAGTATTACACTGTACTTTTCTCATTTATCATCGACAATAGTCATGCTTAGCTATTAATCAAAGAAAATTCAAATCTCTTTTATTTACAACGATTACAAAACAATGTTGATGAAGAAATGGGCACTTAAATGTACATGGCTGGTGATGCTCTGTAAATCAAACTATAAATAATTTGAACTGTATATCTGTCTACGAGGTGAGGAAGAAATAGACCTTTTAAGATTGGATAATCAGGCTATACCACAAACACGACAACAGACACTCTAGAATTCACCTAGCGTACCAAGGAAAGTCTAATTAGATTATAAAATCATCCACTTAAGTTAGAGACATAAGATTCCGATATTGATCTGTTCATTTGACTTTCCATTCTAGAAGTATAGAGATTGACCGTGGTCAACAATGCGGACTGTATGTAAATTAAGTGGTTATTTTCCATCAACAAGGATTTCACGAAGATTAATTTTTTTGTTGAAGGCGGAAAGTGTTAATCTAAATTAACAATTATTTGACGAAAACAAGATTTAATGAATTAAATCCACATGAAAAAATAAAATTCTTTTTCTTAATACCTTTTTATTTATGACGGTGAAGATTAATATAACGATGTGTGTGTATATGTGTTGATTTGAAGATTTATTAGTTGAGATTTTAATGCTGTATGTGAATAATATTCGGTATATTTAGGATGATGAAGGAAAGATTTTCTTTTTACTACTTCCTTTTCACTTTTTCTCTCTCGTGTTTTTTCTATTGTTTGAAGTAATACATTGACAAAGCACGTGGAGAAGCTTAGAAAAGACTCTAATTGATGATAACCGAGAGAGAGAGAGAGAAAGACAGACAGAGAGAGAGAATACAGATCATATTACTTCTATTTTTCCTTCTGTCAACAGAAAAAAGCCACAAGTTACTTTAATTTTAAAGAGAAACATCATTTGTATTGACGAATGAAACGAAAAAAAAGATATTCTCTCCAATCGGTTGTTGAAACAACGTTTATTTCAGCCAATCAAAAACAACTATTGTGACTTTTAAAAAATTCCACGTTTTTCTTTGAAACAAGCACAATATTTATTAGCTGATACTCAGCTTTGTGCTGATTTCCGTATTGTTGCCTTTGTTTACAGCCTTTCACATATATTTATCGAATAAGAGCAGACTATTTCGAAACAATCACATAGCGAATGATGCCGCCAGGGTTTTTTACAATACCATCCAATCAGATTACGCTAGGATATAAAGGATCTGTCGTATATTATATATTTATATATGTGCAAAAGTTTTCGACCACATTCTGTCCGTCTAGAAGTGTCTAATTATTTTTCAAACAATCGCTACTTATCAATTTTTACAGTCATTGCATTTCTCAAAATCAGATTTTATTAACGATAAAAACACTTATCGTCAACTTCTGCTCTTCTTCTTCTTTTAAGTGGACTTTTGAACAATATTTACATATAATAGAACCATCAATATATAACCGGATGTAATTCTGATTTGATGGAATAAATATAAAGAAAAAAAGAAAAGAGCATTGCGTTTCTATATAGGGACAGACGTGAATAAGCAACTAATGTAATATTTTCATATATATTATCTTGTAAGAAGGAGAGGCTAAGTGATTTAATGAAATGAAACGTTTGTTTTTATTTGCTGAGGTATATTACAGGGCGCAATCGCTTAAGTAGAGCGATAGCTCTGCGTGAAATCAGACATTAATTGGCAAATCTGTACACTAGAACTGTAATAAAAAAGGCATTTCAAAATAAACATATCATCTTATATTTTGCTCGTGTGTCAGTTCGACTGTAACGTGAAGACTTATTCTTTTTATCAAAACATTTGTAGTACATTTTCTGATTTTACCCATAATGAGTTAACCTATCAAAACCTATCAAAACTCATAAAAATCATCAAAAGAATGATTCTTTATTCTGAAACATTCCATCCGCTCATGTAAGACGATGCGAATCACCATTGGAAAACAAAAGATCCAGATGTCATCAAGGAACTACATCTCGATTAGAGTAGAATACTAGGAATTATATTACTCATCCAAAGAAACTCTATCTATCTTATCAATACTTCCATTTTGTCAACGCAAATAGGACAAAAATGTAATTAAAAATTGGTTTTACACCTATCCTGATCATTATTATATGAACGCCCTTATTTATTCGAACGGTATCATTTCACATACCGATGAAAAAAGAGAAATATCATTTCATTTCTTTACTTAGCAAGCAATAGAGTCGGCCACAGTTTGATGCGAAATTGGGGATTAACTCGCTCTGTGTGTGTATATTTGTGTGTACATATATGTAAATGTAATATGAGAATGAATTGTTGACAAAAAAAAGAGCAAAGAAGAGACGAAGAAATGATTATTAGAAAATTGGATGAGTGACATTCAAGTCTCAATTTGATAATAAAAAATATAAAATTGCGTCTTAGCGAAAAGAATCGGTTTCTAAGATGTTATCTGTTTATTCAAGACAAGTTATCTAACAAGACGAGTCCAATATTGATCACCTTTTCACTATAAGCCATAATTATCTGATTTAATGAATATTTTTTATAAAATATACTAGAAATTAAAAGTATTGATAAAGTGAACCGTCGAACTATCTAATTAGCAGAATTACATGACAAGAAATTCGTAAAATACTATATCCATCGTCTTTTATACATAACTTAGTTTTATCTATCACCTTCTTCAAGAGAAACGAATGTAAATTTCTTATTGTACTAATCAGAAACCAATGAAAAAAGGCTTGTTGTGCAAGAAGAAAAATCATTCACAAATTTTGCTTTTCATCATACATTGCATATACAAAATATATACTTCGAAATCTTTTTTTGATTTTTTCTTACAGAGGTCTGTGAACGTTATCATGTACCGAGCAGTATTCGGGCAATGTCGTGATCCTGTGCGTAGTGGCGTAATCACAGTACGGCGAAGTACAGCGGCGCCGTACCATCGCAGGGACGTCTACCCTGTAGGACATTTGAGGCGCAATGCCTCAAACAAACGTAAGGTGGTACGCTTTTTAGCTGTAGAAATTAATTTTTTACGTGGTACACCGAGAGATCGAATCTTCGAGGTGGTACAAAATGCCTCATATATTCTAGTGGGGATAGACGCCCCTGTACTATCGGGAATTTCTGTCGTTCTACCGAGAAAAAGTATAATATCGGGTAAAAAAAAACTTACTTATTCTAAACAGATGTTTGAAAAAAACTACGGCGCCCCCGTACTACCGTCATTTTTCTCGTTACGCCACTACCTATGCGACACACTGTAAAAAAGTTAGTATCAAAATAAGACTGATATCTCATCCATGGAAGTAAGTAGGTTTATGTTGGCTGCAAAGTAGTCGGGCAGAACCGTCCTTTAACCGTTTTATGAGAAAAGAGAAAAACGTTGCCAATCGAGTAGAATCCTTCATAGGTTTTGCCAAAGTTGAAAGAAAGCGTATGAGACTAGAAAAACAAAAACAACAAAGAAAAACAGTACTAATTAATAAACAACTAATGGTGTGGTGGTCGCAGTTATGATTTTAAAAAAGAGCATTAAACATGATCGAATTGTTTCGATTCTTCAATATATTTTAAAATTATTTTATAAATATCTTGAGCTCGCTCGCCTCGTCTTTCTCCTCGCGTCCGTACATCTCGAAGAAATACGGAATCTTTTCATTTTTTCCACAAGAATACGATGGATTGTCAACCACTATATGAGTAAATAAGTTAAAACTTAATTGCGCCAAACCAATCCGCATTCGTGCATACCATCTGTTACTGCAAGTACGCCATGATATTCTAGGAATGCAAGTCGCTTCGAATTCGTACGGGTAACTAGTGCCGGTGGATGAGGCCAAGCTTTCTGATTGAAAAAGAACGAGAAACATTTGTTTAATAACTAGTCTTTCGACCATTGTATGGTCACGACGTCTTGCTTCGTTTTAACTACCGTATCGAGAGAGACATCAGTTGCAGACAATGTACAAGTGCATACCGTTGACTGTGGTCATAATCATACATAAATAACAAAACAGACTGATGTAAGAAATGAGTCATGCAACATTTCACAGTTAAACTAAGTACCTGCCGACCTAAATTCTTCATCTATAGTAACGAAACTCTTCTCGCTCAAACAGCGACGAACACATTCAAACGCACTGGAAACGCCTTTACTTGCTAACTTTAGTAATAACCCTTCATGTGAAACCTTAGCAAACGCTTCGCTAAAATTGATTAAAGCTGTCAAATCAGAATGTCCGTCACTGGAAGCAGCTGCGATATTATCCCCAACTGAACCAACTGAGTGATTGTCGAATGACGCGTAATATTTTGGAAAAAGCTGAAATGAGAGTTATCAATCGGTTAATAATTCAGTTCAACAATCGTTCCTTTACTAGACTTTTCCGCGGATAAAGATTAGAAACAACAGTTAGTGTTAGAGCTGTCTGAAGAACAGTTATCTTTTTTAGCTAATTTTTTGGACTAAAAAGACAACGAGGTGAAAAAACTTAAATGAGGACGAGATAATTGTCAGAAAGCAGCGACTCAAGGCTTCTAGAACAGAGGATGAGCGCACAAGTTTTGGCGTAAATTCTATTTGTTTTGAAAAGTCGGAATAGGGTACGATCTATTTACTCTCAAATTCAGAGTAAAAATTTAAAAATTAGGTGGGAAGTACGTTCTCTTCAATCGAGCGACCTTGTAGAAAAGATTGATTGATTGATTTATATTTTAGTAGCCACAAGTCGATGATAGATAGTGGAAACAAAGAGAACTACTCATATTTTTTGTCAGTCATATTCCAAGAGAAACAAGATTAATTAATTAACTTTTTAATGGC